TTCCTGTTACATTGTTTTGGGATAACTTGCCAGTCTACGAGAAAGACTAGGTGTACTTGATGATTCCTGAAGATTAGCACAGATTTTGCAGGAGGCACTGATGGACATGTGAGGCGAAAATGAAGGGGAAAAAAAAGCACGAAGAAGGGGCAAAGAAGCAAGAAAAACCAGAAAAGAAAAGAAAGAAATAAGTAAAAAATAAATAAAACCTGATAATTGATCTGAAATTTCGTGACAAGATATTCAACGGGCGTCTGCTCGCCGTTCAAAGCTTCGTTAGCGTGCTGGTCAAACCATCCGATACGCAGTTGCCTGTGCTTTCGTACTTCGCCTTGATGCTGTAAAGAAATTAACAGGTCAACGAAAGCTGACAATTATACAATTGGCAAGGGAAGTCCCTTTTTTTTAACAAATGACAAAAAAGGATTTTTTTTCAAAAATATATAAGCGAAAACGAATATAAATCATAGACTCTTAGGAACAAAAGAAAAAATTCACAAGTGCACTTACAGGTTCAACTTTGCCGTACAACAGCTTCAACAGCGTTGATTTACCAACACCATTTGGGCCTACGATTGCAATCCTTGAATCCATGTCGATACCAAAATCAAGATTTTTGAAAAGCAACTGATTGTTGTAGCCAAAACAAACCCCTGCATGAAACAAATAAAAATCATAGGCAAATAAAAATCAAAAAAGAAATGCATGAATGGATTCCGGAAAAAATGTGAAATAAAAGCGTTTTGGCATAAAAAAAAGATCCACAACGATTTTTGTCGGAAATCAGGCAATCAGATGTAGTAAAAGTCAGAACGCCTGTGAAACCATACCATGTAAACCAAGCACAGGAGGAGGTAATTTCGGAGGATCCGGAAAACTGAATTTCACGTTATATTCCTTCACTCGCTGCAACAATTCGGCCGGGGGTGCGTCAGCTGTAAAATGCAAAAAATAAAAAATCGGCGAATTTTGCTCCAAGAATGCCTCTTTTCAAATTGGTTTCCTAGTCTATAAACAATGCGCGGAAATCAAATAATGAAAATAAAGCACATGATTATTTTTTTAAATTTTGCATCAACTGAAGCTGCCATAAGTTGCATTCTTTTCTGACGTTTTGTAAATTTTAGATAAATATACAGCAGTGTAGAAAACGCCAAGAAAAAACAGAACAGTGCAAAAAATGCTAATTACCTTCGTCGCCCATCGCTGCCGAGCTTTTTTTGCCTTTATTAACTTTGTCTTGTTTCTGTTGCAAACGGCTCTTCATCTCTTCCGTAGCCTGCTTCGAGCTTTTGCCACTCTTTTTCATAGCGGCAATCTGTTTTTGCTGAGCCTCAAACGCTTTCATGCGCTCTTTCATCTTCTGATCTTTCATCTTTTTGTAAGTTGCTGCAAAAGGAAATATCCATTCCAGTTATTGCTCCAAATCACTGGTAGCTAATATTCAAAAATCAACGACATTAACTAAAATCATAGCTTAAGATCATCAACGACCGCAATTCATTCGAAAACTTCAAAAAATTGGTTTTTATGCAAAACTACATCAATTTTGAGCAACGCAGATTTTGCATAAACGCAACAACAATGGTATTACTACTTCTAAGCCGTTTGTAACATCCATGTTGATCTAGGCTGCCAAAGTAAGGAAGATGTATACGCAGAAGAAAAAATAGTAGGAAAAAACAATTGAGTTAAGACGTTTCGGTCCATTAAGTCATATACGTCTAACACTAAAATCTGGGATGAAAATGGAGCACCGAGAAAAAAATCTATGGTTTTACAACGAAGGATAGAAAATCACTTAAAGAATCTAATGATGCCAAAAGTTAATTAAATTTCCCGAAACATACCATAATTTCCTTTGTAATAATATAGCTTCTGGTCTTGCAAATCAATGATATCAGTGCATACGTTATCCAAAAAACCCTGGTCGTGAGAGACGATCAGCAGTGTCTTCTTCCATGCTTGTAAATAGCTGCAAAAATTTCACCTTGTAAAAGCTTAATTATTCCCTAAATCAAGGGCTGTTTGCAAAAAATCTTATTTCGTGAAAACTCAATTATTTCCGAAATCAGAAACTATTTGTAAGCAAACAGAATAACGAACTTATCAAGCCAAATAACGGCATTTAGGTCCAGATGATTGGTCGGCTCGTCAAGCA